TTAATAGAACAATAAAATTCTATGAACTATGTTTAAGTAATTTTAGATGTTTGACTTTTACATTGTAGAATAAATAAGGGACCTTTGATCCCTATCATCAGAATGGAGTCTATTCTGTCACCCTCAGGAGTTTATCTTCTCCTCCCACTTCTCTTCAGGTGCTTTTAGTATATGCACATCAGGATGAAGTTTCTATTGGGTCTTTAGTGAATATGTGTGTCTTATACACCCCCAATACCCATACCCTAGCCTTCTGTTTACACTACCCCTTATTTCTTCTGGATGAAGCCCATGTGCCTTTGGTGATACTGATTCTACCTCTAGCTCCCAGGGTGGGTGTGTGACTCAGAACTAACCAGTCAGAGAACAGCATCTGTCTGGACAGCTGTTGGTTCAAGCACTGCACAAGACCCAATCTGGGGCAGTCCAAATCAGGCCAGGAACCTTAGTATCACAGAAACATTAAGAGCAAAGTGTACTCTCTTTTCTGACTTGAATCTTGAAGGATAAAGGACTGGAGCTGTAAGCGGATCTTTTGCCATCATAAGGAATCAGAGAATCCACTACTGTGGAAAGCAGAATCAAGAGACAGAGCGAGACTTGATGATGCCTTCCTGACGCCATGAGTCCTGACCACGGGGATTAAGATTAAGCTGTCCTGAAGTGAGCTATCTCTGGGACTTCCAGTTACTTGAACTATTAAAGTGCATTTTTCCCCCTGAACCAGTTTGAATTAGATTTTATATCACTTGTAATGAGAGACTCTATTTGTAGACTATCTCTAGGTGGCACTTTAAATGTGTATTTTAAAAAATTAGTGAGTGCTATCTCTTTTTGGCTCATAATCAAATACAAGTATAACAGAGAAAAGAATGTAGTTTCCTAAAAACAAATTTTGAACCTAGAATATGTTGTGGCCTCTATTATATTAAATTCTCTATCAATGAATCAACTGGCTGGTGATCATCAGCTTGGAAGATACAATGGTACTTTAAGTTTAGATATTTCATATACAGAGATGAAAAGAAACATACCATGCTAACATTCTGCAAAGTCTGCATCCGCAGAGCCTGAAATGATTCCAGCTGATGCTGAAGGACCTATAACAACACCAAACAAAGTGTGAAGTTGAATACTTTTAGGTAGGTGAACATATTCTTGAATTGTTATGATTTTTTATATCCCCTAAAGTTGCCTATTACTAGAAAGGATCCCATGAGGGTCGGTTGTCTCACATCCTTCGTCATTTTTGGTAATTCTCCAACACAGTCTCATGAAGAGTTTTGGAGGACAAAGTGGAAGAACCCATATGCATTTAGGAAGTATTTATTCTGAAAAAGATCAGCCTTTACATAGGATTTTGGAGATAATAAAATGAAATATACTCACTTTCAGTGCCGATTGGGGTTGGATTTGATTTTCTGATTCTGATATGCAGCCATGTTCTAAGAAGCAAAATTGAAAAACCACATGATTTAATTCTCAAATTTTAATTTTAAACAGCTGTAATAGAAAGCAGTCTCCTAACTTCCTTGGAGAATGAGACAGAGATAATGAGAACATTTGATATTCCCACTATGCTACTCACATGATAAGTTTAGGAAATAATTCTCACTTGACTTAAAATACCCACTGGAGGTTGTAATAGTGTCTTAAGCCATTAATTTGCAACACCAAACTTGGAACGCTCAAAAACTCAAATATCGTTGCTTCTGGGATACAAACTACATTCTTTTAAAAAAAAAAAACAAACAAACTAATAATCCTCATGTTATAGGAGACCCTTGGCAAAGTATTATATAGGCCTCAATGTCTATGCTATTAGCATGTGATAGTTTTTTCCCTTATGGAAAACAAGTTGGATTGACAGCATAATTTTTGTCTTGCTCTTAAGTACCATAAAGATCCATGTGTTCCTTC